AGTTCTTGCTATTATATGGTTTGTGACGAACGTTCTTGCTATTTTCATTAACATCAAAATAAATTTTTAAAATTACGTTTTCTCTTCTCATCAACTACACCTTATACGTGTCATACCAAATACAAACCCTACGGGTATAAATTGACACTAACTATAAATTCTCCAAATCATAAGTTACATACCTCATATAAGAACAGTCTGCGCTTATCTTAAAAAGCGTATCAACATAAACTATATGTGGTTTTCAAGGTCCTAGCCGTAGCTCTAGCCCAGAGTCCTAGCCCAGAGCCCTAGCTCAGAGCACTGGCCCGGAGCCTTAGCCCAGCGCCTTAGCCTACGGCTGAAACCTAGGACACTAACCTAGACCCCTAGCCCAGAGCCCTAGCCCAGAGCTCTAGCCCTGAGTCCTAGCCGAGAGTCCTAGACCAGAGCCCTAGCCCAGAGCTTTAGCCCTGAGTATTAGCCCAGAGTCCTAGACCAGAGTCCTGGCCTTGACGTAGCCTAAGCTCTATTCTTAGCCCTAAAATGGACACTAATCCAAGCACTACCTTAAGTGTTAGCTTGTCTTATTCTAATTTAGCTATAACTTATTTTATTTTTATCTTTAGCTCATTTTATGCTCAACCTAGCGCTAGCCCTTAAAATTTTAGCCAACCTAACTCTACGTCATCATAACTTCTCCAAATTCCTTCAAATTATCAATTTCCGGATATTTTACGCAACTCGAGAATTCGACAGTTACGAAAGCGAGAGAGCGATTGTCATATGTTATGATAATCGAATTAGCGATTTCGAGTTTTGATTTCCCCCAATAACCTATATACATGTCGCGCGCGACTAACTGGCGAGTTTTGAAACAAAACACACTGAAGTGAGTCACGGATTGGCGTGACATTGTGACACAATTAAAGTTAGAAAAATCAAGATTATGTCATGGAACGTGTATTATCGCTTTCGTCAGGAAAACATGATTTATTGAGGTTTTGAGCTAGCGGAAAGCCTTGTCAAAGCAGCTCACTCCAATATCTTTAAAAAATAAACGAAAATTTTATACAAAAACGACAAGAACTTTCTTAACAAAACAAAAAATGGCAAAAATTTTCTTTACAAATCATAAAATAGCAAGAACTTTCGTTACAGATCATAAAAGGCAAGTACTTTCTTTACATTTCACAAAATGGCAAGAACTTTCTTTACAAAACATAAAAGGGTAAGAACTTTCTTTACAAAACATGAAATGGCAAGAATTTTCTTTACAAAACATAAAATGGTAAAAACTTTCTTTACAAACTACAAAATCGCAAGAACTTTCTTTACAAAATATAAAATGGCAAGAACTCTTTACAAAACAGAAAATAGCAAGAACTTTCTGTACAAAACATAAAATGACAAGAACTTTCTTTACAGTATTAAATTAGCATGAACTTTCTTTACAGAATTTATAATGACAAGAACTTTCTTTACAAGTCACAAAATGGCAAGAACTTTCTTTACAAAACATAAAATGGTAAAAACTTTCTTTACAAACTACAAAATCGGAAGAACTTTATTTAAAAAACAGAAAATAGCAAGAACTTTCTGTACAAAACATAAAATGGCAAGAACTTTCTTTCCAATGCATTAAATGGCAAGAACGTTCTTTACAGAGTAAAAAATGACAAAAACTTTCTTTACAAACCTTAAAAACTCAAAAAACACCTGAAATGCCCAAACCCCCCTCCCACATCAACAGCAAAAAATGTTGTTGTAGGGGGGCGATTAGATGTAAAAAGTGAAATTAGTTCATCCGCCCGCCAATTTTCCCTTTCCGCTGCCAAAAACAATCGGATGGGCGCGAGAGTGACCCAAATCCGGGCAAACGAAAATAACAGTGAAATCAGAATGAAGATTCCACGATGGAGAGAGTGTGGAACGCATCGATTCAGAAGCCGGAATCGCTTTTATGCAATCACAACAAAATTTGCACACGGAAGCAAGCTACAGGGTGAGACACGTTAAAATTGTTCCGCCTTTAAGGTTGATGGCATTATGATAAAGATACACTAAATAAGTCTAAAGGAAAATTGTTTATAGGTAAAATACGTAGCGGAGCAATTTCTGAATACTATGTAGAAGTAATCAAAGTGCATGAATCAAATTCTTGAGAAATTTTAAAATTTACAGATTTGCAACAAGATAAGTCTAATAAGCCTACGCATACTTACTTTTAGCGTTCAAAGCCACCAAAGCTTAAGACTGAACTTAAGCCAAAGCTTATAGTTAAGAAGACTAACCTTTTCAGAAGGCGTAGGCTAGAGCTAGGACTCCAGCTGAGGTTAATATAAAGACTAAAGCTAGAACAGAGCATAGACAAGGCTAGGGCAAGGCTAGGGCAAGGCTAGGGCAAGGCTAGAGCAAGGCTAGGAGTAGAGATAAAGCTAGGACAAGAACATTGGCTGAAGCTTTGGCTAGAGCGATAGAATTTTGCTAGGTCTAGCTCTAGCGCTAGTTCTAGCTTTAGCTCTAGGTCTAGCACTAGCTCTAGCTGTAATCCCTAGACCAGAGCCCTATCTTTAGTCCTAGCTTTATGATATAGCTGCCTTATATTATATCTCACCTAACCTATCCCCACTAGGCTAGGTATAGCTCTCAGCCTTAACCTACCAAGCCAAAGCCTACTATAGCCAAGCCTAATAAGCCTACACGTACTTAATTTTAGCTTTGAAAGCCTTTGGAGCTTAAGACTAAATTTAAGCCAAAGTTTATAGTTAAAACAGCTAGCCTTTTCAGCTTAAGCCTATTTTAACCTTAATAAGCCTAGATGTAAATTTACAGTGTTGAATTCTGCCTAACTGTCATACAGTTTACTACTGTAATTTTTAAAAAATTATTGTACTTTTTTGTATTTCGCTTTTCAAAATGAAACTTCCGCATTTCAAAACAACATCCCATTAACCGCCACTTGAATATACTGTATTCTCATTATTTCATCACAACAATTTCAACCCAATTACTTTGTTTTGGCAGGCGATTCTGTCGATGATTTCCCTTTCATCTCAAAAAAATCTGGAGCACACTTTCACCTAAATAACCCGACTTTCACTACCTACTTTCACCTTTATTATGCCATCCCGATTCATGTTTTTTACGTAATGACCGAGAAACGAAATTGGTGGAGGATTTGCGACTTTCATAAATCTCAAAAAATCGCGCAAATTGGAAGCGAAAACACTCGAAAAGTCGCGAAATTCGTCAAAATTTCAATGAAACTCACATGAACTTAAAGGTACTGTACTTTTAAAAGTATTTTATTATACTTTACTTCCTAGATCAACCAACGAAAGATTAAATTTAAAATTAAAAAATGTTCGTAAATAGAGTTTCCAAGGCTTATAGAATTTGAATTCTGAAAATAGCCGGAGCCAAAGCTAGAACCAAAGCCTCGAAATGTCATATTTTAGCACTGAAAACACCCAAAACCGGCACAGATCCGGCGCTAATCCAGCATTGGCCTCAGAACTAAAGCCAGGGCTTGAACTTTGAAAACGACCGATGCCGTAACCGAACATTTTAAATTTCGGCACACTACTTGTAAGCTTGCTTCAAATTTTATAAATTTTTCAAATTTTAAGTTTAGTTAAAGAAATTTGGACTATGATAAACATAAGCGTAAAGCTATAACTTTACGTTTAAAGATAGGGCTATAACTAAAAATGTGGCAAAAAGCAACATTAGACCAAACCTAAAGTTAAAACTATACCCTGAAGCCTAAAGGTGAGGCTAAGGCTAAAGTTAGGCCTAAAACATACGTTAGACTTAATACTAAAACTAAAAGACTTGGCTAAAAAATCCAAAATTTTTTCCACGTATTTTACATTTAGTTTGCTTAATAAAATTTTTAGAATTTAACATGTTAGAATTGAGTGACGTTTTCAATAAAACGTTTAAAATTGATTGCGCAAAGATATTTCACCTTGTTTTTTATGTAATCGTTCCGGAAGAACGTCTGAAAATCCAGCCATTTTTTGCACGTTTCTCAACAGACATTCTGAATCAGAGGTCATCAATAATTAAACGATCTTAAATGACATCTTTTTAATTGAAAAAAATTAAAATTTATGGTTTTTTACAAAAAAAGATAAATAAAATAGCCAAGTCCGTTTCATAGCCTTAGCCTTAGTCTTAGCCTTAGTCTTAGCCTTAGTCTTAGTCTTAGTCTTAGTCTTAGTCTTAGTCTTAGTTTTAGCCTTAGCCTTAGCTTTAGCCTTAGCTTTAGCCTTAGCTTTAGCCTTAGCTTTAGCCTTAGCTTTAGCCTTAGCTTTAGACTTAGCTTTAGCCTTAGCTTTAGCCTTAGCTTTAGCCTTAGCTTTAGCCTTAGCTTTAGCCTTAGCTTTAGCCTTAGCTTTAGCCTTAGCTTTAGCCTTAGCTTTAGCCTTAGCTTTAGCCTTAGCTTTAGCCTTAGCTTTAGCCTTAGCTTTAGCCTTAGCTTTAGCCTTAGCTTTAGCCTATAGCTTTAGCCTTAGCTTTAGCCTTAGCTTTAGCCTTAGCTTTAGCCTTAGCTTTAGCCTTAGCTTTAGCCTTAGCTTTAGCCTTAGCTTTAGCCTATAGCTTTAGCCTTAGCTTTAGCCTTAGCTTTAGCCTTAGCTTTAGCCTTAGCTTTAGCCTTAGCTTTAGCCTAGCTTTAGCCTTAGCTTTAGCCTTAGCTTTAGCCTTAGCTTTAGCCTTAGCTTTAGCCTTAGCTTTAGCCTTAGCTTTAGCCTTAGCTTTAGCCTTAGCTTTAGCTTTAGCTTTAGCTTTAGCTTTATAGCTTTAGCCTTAGCTTTAGCCTTAGCTTTAGCCTTAGCTTTAGCCTTAGCTTTAGCCTTAGCTTTAGCCTTAGCTTTAGCCTATAGCTTTAGCCTTAGCTTTAGCCTATAGCTTTAGCCTTAGCTTTAGCCTTAGCTTTAGCCTTAGCTTTAGCCTTAGCTTTAGCCTTAGCTTTAGCCTATAGCTTTAGCCTTAGCTTTAGCCTTAGCTTTAGCCTATAGCTTTAGCCTTAGCTTTAGCCTTAGCTTTAGCCTTAGCTTTAGCCTTAGCTTTAGCCTTAGCTTTAGCTTTATAGCTTTAGCCTTAGCTTTAGCCTTAGCTTTAGCCTTAGCTTTAGCCTTAGCTTTAGCCTTAGCTTTAGCCTTAGCTTTAGCCTTAGCTTTAGCCTTAGCTTTAGCCTTAGCTTTAGCCTTAGCTTTAGCCTTAGCTTTAGCCTTAGCTTTAGCCTTAGCTTTAGCCTTAGCTTTAGCCTTAGCTTTAGCCTTAGCTTTAGCCTTAGCTTTAGCCTTAGCTTTAGCCTTAGCTTTAGCCTTAGCTTTAGCCTTAGCTTTAGCCTTAGCTTTGGCCTTAGCTTTAGCCTTAGCTTTGGCCTTAGCTTTAGCCTTAGCTTTAGCCTTAGCTTTAGCCTTAGCTTTAGCCTTAGCCTTAGCCGTAGCCTTAACCTTACCTTTAGCCTTAGCTTGAGGTTAAAGCTGAGCCTAACTATTAAGTTTACTTATATTTTTAGCCCAACAATGGTCTTCATGGCTCATAACATCAGAAAACATAAGCTGATACTGTAACCATTCCCATGCCAGCTTATTCAAAATCTAAATTTCCTAATTAACCTCTAATTATGCTACCATATCCCAAAAACGTTAAATTATTCCGTGGCACCCAGTGCCATGGCACTTCTGATCAAACCCAGATATTCATATTACTATTTTGTTCTGTTTTTCCAAAAAAAACTGTGAAACCGTCTAAACAAAGCCTAGTTTTTATGTACTTGAGTTGGAGACAAAACGGTTGGGCGCCTGAATTTGAATGGATTTCGATTCGAATTTTAAGTTTCCTCATTATGCAAAAAAGTTAAAACAAGAAAAATAGAGAGAAAATTCGTATTTTGGTTTTAAAAATTTCGATTCACTAAAAGTAGACTTTAAAAAAGACCGGGCCCAATTTTGTTAGCCCTTCCTTCGTACTCAACTTTAGCCTGGCCCGGCTCTTTTCAAATTTGCCTTGGCTTTTATAAAAATTTATTAAAACATTATGTTGAACCAAAGTAGCGGAACACTAAGACAACGTGTATCGTACTTCTTCTGTGCCTTAAGTAGTAGTAAGAGGCACTTTCACACAGGAATGTGTGGTATTTTTACACAAAGTGTGTGGTATTATTACACGGTGCGCAAGCTGTGTAAACAAAGGGACGGGTAGATCAAAGGGTTTGTTTGAATTTCGCAGTGCGCGAGAGTATCAAGTTACAGTATCGTGATGTGATTTGTAGGTGTTTTTTGAGTACGTGACCTAGTTATGTACAACTGTGTAAACAAAAGGTTGCTGGGACCGGTTGGGGCCTGGAGCATATTGTAATATGATATTTAGTTTTGCCATTTTTATGATTTGTTGTCCGATTGTGTTACAGCACGGTAATTTTATTATTTACAAAGTAACAATAAAGTAAGTAAATAAATTGGGATATGATTCTTGCAAAGCCTTTCCCCTCGTTGCGTTTGTAGGCATTGATACGGCATATTTTCATACCACGGGATCCAAGTTCAAACAACTAAACGTTATATTATACATAAAGATCATAAATTTGTTTCTTTATATGTTCGTATTTTAGCGCACTTACATTTAAGTTGATCTCTCTGATGAGGATCGGTTCTAAATCATCGACATTTGTGTCGTAGAGTCTTTTCAAGTAAATTTTAAAAAAAACACATATATGTATAAACGATGTCTTCGTTTCTCAGGATGGGGATTTTGGTTTTACGTCCGCGTATTAAGAATATGTTATCATTGTCGAGTGTTTCGACAAATACATATGTAAAACCCTTTACGTCCTTGTGGACGTAAAGGTGCCAGCGAACCTCATCTCCGTCTTTCGAATTGTACACCTCGGCCGAATCTGGATTTTTCTTACGCGGAAAATACGTTTCCGATTTCGATGTTGCCAGTTGTTGAATATGAATAATGGACAGGGCATTCTGTGAGGTGGGCTTGGCAGTGAGGTGGGCTGGGCTTGGGTGAGGTGGGCTGGAGGACATGGCACGGCTGGAGGAAATGGCACGGCTGGAGGACATGGCACGGCTGGGCGGTGAGGTGGGCTTGGCGGTGAGGTGAGCTGGGCTTGGGTGAGGTGGGCTGGGCGGGGAGGTGGGCTGGGCTTGGGTGTCGGAAAGTCTGCTTTTGGTGCTCATGCTAAAATATTTAGAACTTAATACAAAACTCAAAAAATAAGTTAATATTTAAAGAAGAATGTAGATTAGTTCCACAAGGAATACAAAATGTTTTAAAAAACTTACATATGTAAACAGTTTCTTCGTTTCTGAGGACTGGAAGTCTGTTTTTTCGCACACGTATTAAAAATATGTCCTCATTGTCAAGAGTTTCAAGTAGAACGTATACGTATTTCTTTGTAGATGTCAAAGTACCCGCATACCGCATAGCCATTTTTCGGAGTGTCCATTTCGGCCGGATCTGAATTTGTCTTGCTCGGAAAATACGTTTCCGATTTCGATGTTGCCAGTTGTTGAGTATGATTAATGGACAGGAGTGATAAGTCAGCCCCGGCCCTGTAAGCTTGTCTTCCCCGAAGACCTTCGCGGCTTCTTGCCACGGATACCCCTCTATCACTTAAGAACAGCCCCTTCTCTGGACGGCTGGGTCGACCTCGAGTGATCGCCATTATCGGCTTAAATAGCCGATATTGTAACGGCCTGTAGCCAGCCCACGATCCGGCCGCCTTCTGCTTATCGCCTCTCCCTGCCTTCTCTTTATTGAAGAGGGCGCAGGCGACTGCAGAAGAAGGCCGGATTCCAAGCCTAGTCGATGTTTAATGTACTTTAAGAAGTAATTAGAATATTTGAAACCTCACTCAGGGCATTCTGAAAAAAACCTTGTAAGAACCAAGACTTTATTAACAAAAAAACTAAACATTTAATAAAACTGTGACAGTACCTGTGCCTGCCATATAGACGCAGTCTCAAATGACTGTTGTGGCTATATTGGTGTGCTAAAGCCCAGGTCGTCAGCAGCGGAGGTATTTGAAGTTTTCTGTTTACCAAATAAGACGATTATGGGTATACGCCGATAAAGTATCGTTTTTCATAATTAGAAACTCTTATTGTGTGTTCGAGAATTGTATTATGTAAAATTGCTTTTTGGAAGTTATATACAGGGTGTCCCAAGAAAAATGTCCGAAACTAAAACGATATATCTTGGTTACAAAAATAGCTAAAATTTTCAAACTTTGTACTGTGGTAGTTTACATGGGAAGTCACTTAAATCGTACCTCGACTTCAGGTCGAGACCTATATATTCTTAAAGCCCTGTAATCACTGAGTATGGATCTGAAAACCGTTTTTCCGTATGGCGCTTAGTTTTCGAGAAAATCGACTTTAAATTTTGACCGTATCCCCAAAAGGAAAGCGCGCGAGAGTCTATCGGAAATAACGAAAACAAATCAAGTAGCGGCGTGGCGCAAATGGTAAAGCGTTGGGTTTCCGATTCAAACTACGTGGGTTCAATTCTGGAGCCTCTAAATCATTTTTTAACAAAACTTTCAATATGCATACTTATGTAATTTTTGTAGTTTTAAAAAATGAAGATTGACATAATTTCTTTAAATAAATAAAAAATTATTAAAGAACATTACCTAAAGCAATAATATATTAAAATAAACAAAACTCATGCTTTTCGTTCATTGTGCTTTGGGTGTCACCCTCGCACTTGTTGTGGGGTTCCTGATGTTCGATTTGGACACGGCGACAGCATCGATGCTGCCTACAATGACCGAATCGTGAAGACAATGTTGTAATACAGCAGATGTTAATTTCGACGATGAATCAGAGGAGGACTTGATTGAGGATAGGAATAAGACGGCGGATCCAACGTACGAAGATGTGACCGACGAAGATAGACGAAAAATATATGTCGTTAAGATTATGCAATTTTATCTAACAATGATATTACAAAAATTACATAAATTTGCATATTGAAAGTTTTGTTAAAAAATGATTCAGAGGCTCCAGAATCAAACCCCCGTGGTTTGAATAGGAAACCGAACGCTTAACCCTCTGCGCCATGCCGCCACTTGATTTCTTCAATTTATTTCCGATTGAGTTTTCAGCGCGATTTCCTCCTTTTAGGGAGTCGGCCAAAATTTAAAGTCGATTTTCTCGAAAACTAAGCGCCATACGGAAAAACGGTTTTCAGATCCATACTCAGTGATTACAGGGCTTTAAGAATATATAGGTCTCGACCTGAAGTCGAGGTACGATTTAAGTGGCTTCCCATGTTAGTACTACAAGTTTTTCGTCGCACAATTTTGCTTTTTTTGGTTACATTTTAAGGGCGTTATGTTTTTTTGAAAAATCGTCATTTTCACCAAAATTACACATATTTTCATTTGAAAATGCTTTTTTTGCTAAGTTTTTCAAAGGTTTTCATTGAGATTTTGCTTGAGAATAGATTTCTCGCAAAATTTTCTGTTTCTTTTGGAAATTTTGCCGCGACCGCATTTTCAAATCTCGGCGGAGAGTCGGCGGAGGCGCAAAAATATCGGCGGAGGCTATAACTCACCTAAAAATCAACGTAAAAATATAAAACAAAAAGCAATATGTTTCAAATTACAGTACCTGTAAACTTATCTTTTCAAATATTTCAAATATGCTAGAATATAATAAGTTAATGAGTATCAATTTATTATAAATTTTAATAAACATAATTAAAATGTGTTTTGATAAAACTGTCAAATTATTCAAAAGTTTGAATTTAAAAAACGTGGAAGTAAAAAATAAAAATAATTTATTGTTTTATAACTTTGTCGTGATAATAATGGTGACAATGTAGAGATTCGTTAACTATATATAAGTTTTAATATGATTTATAATTGAAATAAAATATTTCAAAAAACCTAAAGTATAAAAACATAGTTAACAAAAAATATTACATTAAAATATTTTTTAGAAAATAAAATATTTTGACCCATAAGTTTATAGATACTGTAATTTGAAACATATTGCTTTTTGTTCTATATTTTTACGTTCATTTTTAAGTGAGTTAAAGCCTCCGCCGATATTTTCGCGCCTCCGCCGACTCTCCGCCGAGATTTGAAAATGCGGTCGCGGCAAAATTTCCAAAAGAAACTTAGAAAATTTTGCGAGAAATCTATTCTCAAGCAAAATTTCAATGAAAACCTTTGAAAAACTTAGCAAAAAAAACATTTTCAAATGAAAATATGTGTAACTTTGGTGCAAATGACGATTTTTCAAAAAATCATAACGCCCTTAAAATGTACCCAAAAAAAGCAAAATTTTGCGACAAAAAACTTGTAGTACTAAGCTACCACAGTACAAAGTTTGAAAATTTTAGTTATTTTTATAACCAAGATATATCGTTTTAGTTTCGGACATTTTTCTTGGGACACCCTGTAGTATTGCTTTTTAGGTCAAACGTATCATGCGATCTTACCATCTGACGCCAATCGATTTGCTGATGAGAGCCTTTGAAAAACCGGCCAAGGCGACTCACTGGCTTTAGAACGCATCTCTTGCTTGAACAACAAGAACACCAGTACGAATCCTCATGAGCTGCTAAAGAGACTGTGGATACCAAGAAGAGGACTGACGAAGGTACCAAGAGGAAGGCCGAGGCTGACAAGAAGAAGGACGCGAAAGATACCAAGAGAACCAGCAAGGATCAAGATGATGACTTTGTTTTTGTTAATCTCCGAATTGACAGCGATTGGGTAATTGTTTGAACACCTATTTAATATTTTGTAACAAAAAATGTTTTTTTGAATAGATTTACAAGTTTTTTACAATATGATTAGTTTATTGGATTGATTTAAATCTTTTTACGGTGTAATTAGATTATTAGGTTGTTGTTACATGGAATGAAAATTAGTCGGTATGTTCCATTTTTCCTGGAATGTTCCATGGCTTCAGGGACCGAGTCCTCGAGTGTCATTTTTTTGGACTTAATAGTTAATTCCTCGACCTTATGGGTACCCAAGTCATCATTACAATACGTTTTGATCTCGTCCATGTTTATTGTAACAAACGTCTCTGTAAAAACCATATAGTACAAAAGACAAATTAGCAAAATTATTACCTTTTTCCTCTCTTAAAGCAACAGTAGAAACACATCCCGAACAAAAATGGCAAAAATAAATACCATATCACAATATGCTACAGGCCCCAACCGGTCCCAACAGCCTTTTGTTTACACAGCTGTACATAACTAGATCACGTACCCAAAAAACATCTACAAATCACATCCCGATACTGTAAATTGGGGTACCCCCCCCTCGCGCCCGGCCCTGCTTCTTACCTACTGCCTTAAATAAGCCATAATTGAACAATTTTAATTGTTAAACACAATTCAAAAAGCGTTCTTAAGTAAGTAGCTTTACGTTCATATTGTTATTGTCCTTTTCGCATGTCAAATCTTTCGTTGCAGGACCTAAGCTGAGCTCCTGAGGCTTTCGGGCCCACATATGCCGACCTGGACTATCGTTGCGAGACCTAAGCCAAGCTTCATTTAAGCACAGCCTTCAGATCAGCACACTCTAGCCCGGCATATTTCAAATATGTTTCAGTCCAGCCCTGCCGGGCCTAATGAGCTCTGTTTCATATCCAGGCCAAAAACTGATTAAAAATAATAAAAAAATCAAACTTCAATAACCATTTATTTCGAAAAAACATCAATAAAACAATAAACTGAGGTAGGAAATAAAAAGTAGATGGTATTACAAATCTATGCAGTGTTCTAGCTTATTCTCTGCGTATATTACGTATCCGGGCCTAGCGATGAATTACAAAAAAAAAAGAGAAAAAAAAGGTAGTTGAACAACAAAAAGTAGCTGAATAACCGCAGTGTTTGATTGATAAACTGATATGGCAGTCTAAAACAATATTTTTCAAAAATAAAATTTTGAGTTCATGACAATACAATTTTAAGGTAAACATAACGACATAAAATTTAGGCCACTGTTTTGAGCTCAGTTACAATATATACATCATGTTCTTTAATTAAAATCTAAAATTCCTTTGAAAGACAATATAAGAGTTTATATTATTGTTGTTTAAAGCATTCTACGTTCCCTAAACCCGCTATATCAAGCGCTAACTAACTTTAGAGAAAAAGCACAGAATTACTTAAACAACCAAATACTATGCGGAAAACGTTCTTTTAACATTATATTGCTTAAAAGCTCTTTTAACCATAACAATACCCATTTTCTCGAAAAGCTTTAAACTCTATATTATACATGGTAAAAAGAGCTTTTAAGCCTTCTCTATCAATGATAAAAAAAAGCTCTTAATGCTTATATTATCCATATTCAAAAAACCTTCAAAACCCTACATCATCCTTGATCAAAAGAACTTCTGAGGCCTTCTCACCGGCGTTGTTGGGCTTTGCTGACTGTCCACCGTGCTTCTCGATATTGTAGTACTTCGTTCACTCCTCGTATAGGTCTGTCTGACCACAGCTCTTTGTTCTGGCGGTGAACCTCGTGGCAATGAGTCCTTTGATCCGGCTCTTGATAAGGCGACTTGATCTCTCGACGCCTGATCGTGTTGGAGTCTCTGTACCCGTATCAACAACTGTGCTCTGTCCGCTCGTACTGTATATAGTTCTTCCTTCACTTCGTTCGAGTACTTTTCCAGCTCTTTGACCCTTATCAGTAGGGATTGAATGGCACGGTCGTGTAGCTTTGTCATTTGATCTTCTTTTTGTCGCACAGCCTTCTGAATCTGGCGTTCTTGTTCCTCTTTCCGGCGTGCTTGAGTCTTTTTGGTGTTGTCGTCGAGGAGATCGTTCATTTTGCGTTCCAACGCTTCACAACTCGACTTCCAGTTGGCCATTTCGCGTTCTTGTTGGTTCAGGGCGAGGGCGATGTTGCCTTTTTCGGCCAAAAGTTCTCGGAAGGCGGCGTCTTTGCGTCTCAACTCTTCTTCGATCTAGAACAAAGTGGTTTAGATATCAATTAAAGTCTACTACAATATAGAGTTAAATATTACGTTGTTCAAATAATTCCGCGCCCCTAGCCAAAAAAATTTGCTTTGACTTTTTGACCAATAACAACATCATTTCAAAAGCTAAAATAACATTAAAAACCCTCTAAATCAACTAAATTTAACGCTCTGAGTTCCATAAATTAATATAAACTTACACTTTCTTTCTTATGAATCACTGAATCCAGCTCCAACCTCAACTTATGCAGTTGAGTTTTGTACTCGCTCAGTTCTGCATAATATTCACCTTTCTTCTTCTTCAGCTCCTCGATTTCTCGTTGTTGGTCGACCTTTTCGACCAGTAAGCGGTCGTTTACCGTCCGACAATCACTCAGTTCATGTTGTAGTTCTCTTTCTTTCTGAAAAATTTGAATTCAGTAGCTTAAAAATAATAGTTTACTCGCTTAAAAACAAAAAATTTCTCTCGAAAATTGGGTTTCGTCTGATTTTTCAACTTTAACATAGGTAACTATCCTATCAAAACCCTTACAAAATCACCAAAAATTACATATTCTTAAGCCTATTAAAAGAAGAATATAATCTTTACTCTCTCAAAGAAGCCGACACGTCCCACCAAAACTTGATTTTCGTTTTTCTCGGCCTTCAACTGATTCAAAACTTCATTATAACGCATTTCAGCCCTCTTCAGTCGTTGAACAGTATCTTCCAGTTCTCGTTTTTGTCGGTCCGAAATTTCATCCATACGACGGAGATCCTAAATATTAACAATCATAAGTTCAAACGCGTATCAAAAAACAATCGTCCAATTCCTAATAACCTTCTACTAAAATTCTTTGAAAGCGTTTTAATTCATCCACTAAACATCTTCACGCCTTTTTAAACTGTCGTACTTCAGTTGCGCTACTCATGTTGCAGTAGGAACAAAAGTTTACGTAAAATCAAGTGTTTTAGTAAGAGTTTTTATTTCTAGCTCAAAATCATATTATTTTAACTTTGTCCGTTATGAAAGGGTTTCGCTAAACAAGAGTTTGAAATGCACTGCATAACAATAGTCAGAGATTTAAAATTTGTTCTTTATACAGGATTTTCACTATTTTTAAAGTAAAAAAATTAAAACTTACAGAAACCATTCGATCCAATGACACCTTCTCTTCACTGAAACAATTAAACAAATTAAAATTCACGCAAACAATAAAAAAAGAGCACTTATACACGATTTTAAAATCACTCTTTCAAAAATTTTTACCACGCCTCCCACCAAAAAAAAAATTTAAAAACAAAATGAAAACTAGTCCTATAAAAACAATTTACTTCCTCCCTAAAAAGTTACAGTATTCCCCTGCCCTCGCAAAAAAAAAGTTTTTACACCACCCTTACCCCCCCCAAAATTAAAAAAAACCAAAAATTTTTTTTAGACTTTTTCACCTGAACAAAAGATTCGTATAAACACCCCTCAGACCTAAAGAATCAATACAAACACCCCTCACTAGACCTAAAAAATCCCCTCACCAAACCTACTTCAAATCATCCAACTGGTGTCTCAGGTCGTTGATCATTTCAGCTGCTTTGTTGTTCCTCGACTCCACATCCAAGAACCTCTCTCTGTAGTCCGCCAGCTGCACTTCTATACTTTCTTTTTTGTCTTCAGAATCCTTTAGTTTCTGAGCCCATTCCTGACTATGTTCATCGTTTTCTCTTCTCATTCGACTAATCTTGTCTTCATAATCGTTCCTCTCGTGTTCTAAGGCTTGTGTCACTTCGTTCAGGTCTTTGCTAGTTTGTGAATATAGATTCTTGATGTAGCTGTACTTTTGGTTGAATTCTGATGATATTGTAGTTATCTCGGTCTCTTTTTCTTGGATGGTTTCGTTGGCTGTCTTTAGCTGAATCGAGTGTTCGTTCAGATCGAGTAAAAGGCGTTCCTGAAGCAAAGAAAGCGAGATAAGCATAGATTAAGCAATATTTTCAAAAATAAAAAAAAAATTAAATAACAATCTTCGAAAATGTTAAAATTTTTAAAAAAACCAAACACTTAAAATTTAAAGTTTCAATTATAACTTAAAAAATTTAAAAATAGGCCTAATAACTACCAGCCAAGCACCGAAATGTTAAGCTATATTAACATAATTAGTGTCCAAAGCAATCAATTAACCTATAATAATATCCCAATCTACAGTAATACTTAAAGTACTCAAAGATATAAATCCTTACTAAAATCCTTAGAACTAGTATAATATGATTCTTCCAGTACTATCATGCCCCAAAAATACCAAAATAACATCCCTAAACTAAAAAATAACAATTTCCCTACCTTCAACTGCTGCAAAGCCTCAATTTTCTTCTCCAGTTCGTCAATCTTTCGATCTTTCTCCTCTATAACCGATGACTTTTCCTTTTCCAATCGTTTTTCAAATTGACTTTGAACGTTGGAGAACAGATCAGCTACAGCTTGAAGCTCCTCAGCCACATCGTCCCTTTCCCTGGACTTTTCGGCCAGCTCTGCCTTTAGGCTTGTTTCATTTCTATGGAAAATGTCAATCTCATCAGCGTGGCGAGCTACCTGAAATTTTTAAAATTAGTTTACTTATTAGCTAGCTCAGTACATGCCCTACCTAACCTGCCCCTGGATGAGCAGGGTAAGATAGCACATGTGTTAGACGATGGTAGAAGTAATTTTAAACCTCCTCCTCACCTCATTCTCCAACTCAATGATCCGGCTGTTATAGACCTTTCCACTGTTCTGTTCTTCACTCAAACTTGTCTTCAATGATTGGATTTCAGTTTTCAAAGACTCATTCAACTTCATTTCGTCCTGTAACCGTGCTTCTAGATTCAGAATCGAGTCATCAGCCAATGACAAATCGTTAGTCTTTTTAGCGTTTTCCGCTTCAGTGTGATCTAGCCGGCTTATCAGCTGAAATAACATAGATTTTAACTTTAAAAACTTTTTTTTTAAACTTTAAAATCATGTTTTTTCATTTTTTTTTGACAAAACAATTGAATAATCTTACCTTTTCATTAAGGACTTTGTACTTTTCATTATCGTTCTTGGCCGCTTCGAGCGCTTTTTCCAGCTCTTCGATCCGTTTCGATTGATCAAAAGCTTCTGTTGCTTTAGCTGAAAATGAAATTTAATGCAAAGTTCTAAAACAGTTCATAGTTAAAGAGCCAGCCACTTTTCAGTATTACAACTTTAAAAGCTAAAAAAATTAAACTACCTTACCTTTGAACTTCAATACCTCATCGTCGTTGACTTTCTTGATTTCCAAAATTTCGGTTCTCATTCGAGTCACAACTTCAGTCAGTTCTACTCTTTCTGTTTCCAATGTCGCTTTGCTTCTTGACAACTAAAATATTTCCTTTTATAAAAAGTTTTTGCTATTTGATATTCTGTAAAAAAAGTTCTTGCCATCTTATTTCTTGTAAAGAAATTTCTTGCCATTTTACACTCTTTAAAGAAAGTTCTTGCCATTTCGTTTTTTAAAGAAAGTTCTTGGCATTTTATGTTTTGTAAAGAAAGTTATTTCCCCTTAAATTTTTGAAAAGAAAGTTTTTGCCATTATAAGCCTTTTAATCTCTATTAAACCACAAATCCTTTAAAAATTACCCTACCTGATCAATTTTGTCTTCATGTTTCTTCAGAATCTCGTTTTGTTCATTAACTTCTCGATCCAACGCAGTTATGGTCAATTCTTTGGTCTCTAATTCTTCCTTTAGGGCTTGAATCCTCTCTTCGTGTGTTTTACTGGCTGATCGTGCTGTGCTCGTTTCTTGTTCTGAAAATTAATACATTAGACTACCGTAAACTACCGTACCTTGTCCTACCCTACTCTGTCCTACCTTACCCTAAACCCCCACGATAAAAATATGTACTTCAAAAGAACCTACGAAGCTGCTGGATTTCTCGTCTTAAAGCATTCAACTCCACATTGGCATCGACCAGTTGAATTTGAACTTTTTGAAGTTCGGCCCGTGTCTCTTCTGTGATTTGTTTTTGAGCGTTTACCCGTTCATCGGCCCGTTTCTCGACTTCTGTGAACTCCTCAGTTATTGTAGTTTGTCGTTCCGTCCATTCAGTCTCTAAGCGTTGTCTGAGTTCACTGACATGACGTTCGCTTGAGGTTCTGGTGTTCTCCAACTTCTGATTCAGATCATCGATGTTGGTCTTTAGACTGTGTTTTTCATTTTCTAGGCTTGTGAATCGTTCTTTCAATTGTTTTATCGATTGTTCTTTGAGTTGAATGTCTTCTTCTCTGAAAAAAATATATTTTATCGTATAAATTGTCGATTGCAAGCTGCAAAACTCATAAAACGGCATGAACATTCTTTACAAAGCATGAATTGACATAAACTTTCTTTACAAAATATAATATGGAAAGAACGTTCTTTAAAAAACATAAAATGGCAAAAACTTTCTTTACAGAAGATAAAATTGCAAGAACTTTCTATACAAACCTCAAAATAGCAAGAACTTTTTCTAAAAAGACCAAAATGGCAAAAACACTAAGAAATCAATTTTTGAAACTTCAAAACTTACAACTTTTTTCTATGTTCCTTTTCAATATGAATAATATCCTCCAGCGTCTTTTTATCAGCCACCAGACTATGTAGTTGGATCTCCAAACTTCCATACTTTCTTTGCTCCAGACTGGCCCTGTTCTCGGCAGCTTCACATTGATCTTCCAATCGATTCAATGTTGTTCGGACTACTCGAACAATATCTCTTGGAGAAATGTCACCTTCTCCATTGGCCATGTTGGGAAGCTTCATGATTCGTCTGATGGCATCTTCTGCTCGTTCCTTTTGATCTGACAATTGTTTTAGCTGTTGTTCTAGTGACAGGAATCTTCTGTTTGTTTCGATTTTTTCGTTTTCTAACTCGGCATTCTTTTGCACAATCTAAAATGAGGTTCAATGTTTAGATATTGTTATAAAAAGGTTTTTCACCTCAATACTGCATCTATATTCATATAAATATGGCCTTTATAAAGCTTATACCACATGATTCTCACATTTTTCTACTTTAAAATTCATTTTTATACCTAAAAAACTAATTTTTCCTTCAAAACCCCCATAAATGTCTATGAAAACCACACTTTTTACCATAAAAAGACCAACTACAACATCCATGGACCCAAGAAATATCAAAAACAAACCCAAAAACCTAAAAAACTCAATTCCTTACCATTTCGTACTGTTTCAGCACCTCAGTCTTGGTCTGTTCCGCATCCACATGTTGGCTAGCCCTCTCTCTGACGCTTTGAGCGATCACAGCAATGATGGCTTCAGAAGATCGTTCAATAACTCCACTCTTCTTGATACGATTCGTCTCATCTTTCAGGGATTTCATCTAAAATATGTTAGCTATATTTATTTTTAATATGATCATGTTTTAGGTATTTTTGTTACCTAAAACTTACCGTTTTCTGAAGTGATTGAATTTCGAATAAGAGCTCACGAACTTTGAGGTTAACTGACTGCGTCTTGATTTGATGTCCCTAAAAGTGAGGTATAACAGTGATAAAGGGGTGAGAGTGTCACAATTTATAGTTTATCAGAGTTCAGTTTTTTAAAGAAAGTTTTTGCCATTTTTTGCTTTGTAAAGAAAGTTATTGCAATTTTAAATTTTGTAAAGAAAGTTCTTGCATTTTAAATTATATAAACAAAACCTCTGCCATCTTAAGCATCACAAAACAAATCCCTGGTATTTCCAATCACTTACATGTTCAATTCGCCTTAATTTATCCTCCAGTTGAGCTTTTTCTGTCTGTAAACGTGCCAAAGTGGCATTGAGCTCTGTTAACTGATGTTGTAGTGAGGTATTGGCGCTTAAAACTTCCCAAAGTTGTGTACTCATCATTTTGTTCACGTCTTCAAAAATTTTGTCTCTAAAATTTTCGAAATTTAATAAAATTTCGAAACAAATTTTTTTAATTTTTTTGCACCGTGCAGTCACAATAAAAGCGAAATTTCAAAAAAACAAAAAATACTACCTAATAAATTGAGTTGTTAACCCATAAAACAATTTAAATACAAAAAATAATGATTTTACCACAAAAAATAATAACTAACCTAACCGCATCCTGATACTGGAGATCCCTTCGCTGATCCTCGTTGATCCCTTGATAAGTTTTGCCAAATGACAATGGTAATCGACCATTTGGATCCAAATTATCGAAATCATCCTCCATTCTGTATAATAAACTGTTACCCAAAAAATTTTTGAGAAACATCGAGTTTTGACTTCAAAATTATATTATACTAGACTTGAAGCTGATATCTTAATGGTTTAGACGTCTTTTGAAGTGTAGTTTTAAAAAACGTAAATATAAAACATTGGAAAGACTTAAAAGAACCTTGTTAAGCGTATACAAAGATATTTTAGCCCATAAAACATCAAGAAAACATAAAAAATATCGAAAAACCCACTCGTATCTTCGATGTCCAGCTGTTGCTGGCCTCTGTCCTCCGCTAGTCGATGGTCTACAAAACACCACGTCTTCTATCCGTTCCAATGTTTCCAGTGAACGATGTCGACGATGTTGTGAGAGTTTCGGGCTGCTGAGCTGTGAAATGCTTTCGGCTTCGTGTTGTCTAAGATTTCTCAACTTATCCTGAACCCATTCGATCATTTCCCGGTAACGACGCTGCTCTTCCACGCCTGCCTCTATGCGGCGTCTGTAGTAGTGCAGATCCGACCCGAAACGATGCAAATCTGTAAGAAAATTTAATTAAAGCGGCCAGAATTGAGCAAAAACGATGTTATAGTAGATGAAATTGGACTTGTTGGTCATAAATTAATTTTTGAGCTGTAAAACCCAATTAACGGGTAAGAAAAAATGTAAAAAAATCTACAACAATGTATTCTTCAATTTCCATCAAAAAACAAACATAATTCTTCAAAAATCAATAGATATGACGCATTTTCTGAACCAAACCTTCCAAAAAACCTGTCATTTTTTAGCGTTCTTGTTTGTATTTTCGATAAAAAAACGTAATTGAATTCAAATTCGTCTTCCGAATGACCAGCATCACGGCAGGAAACCGAGCTTTGATAAGGAAAAAGCGGGAACACCCGTTTGTTTGAGGAAGTGACCTCCAAAGCCAACGAAAAAGATGTTTTGATCCCCAAAAAAGATCTTATTGTTGTTGCGAGTGTCATAAAGTAGTCAGATGGCTCGCAAATTTATGGAAAATATTTTTGGAACTTGGAATTTGGTTATGGACGTTTGAAGTGGTAAGAAATTCAATGTTTTTCTATGTTTTAGAATTTCGGCGGGCTTGAGCTATGATGGGTAATATAATTGACGGTTTAGCACTAGATTTACTTAAACGACAGATTATAAGGCGTTCGAAAAGGGCTAACATACCCTGAAGATTGTTTTACTAAACTAAAATTCAAAAAAAAATCAAAACAGAACTAAAACGCGATATTACACTAGACACCTCCTTGGTCAAAATTTCAAATTAAAATTGCGGGCCTTCTGGCTTTTAGATTTGGCTAAAAATTTGTATGCAACTTATTAATGACATGCCTATTAACTATGCAAAATTTTGACTCCGCCTCTGCACTTTTAAAAATGCGTGTTTAAATTTCGCGCCAAATTTGCAGTGCGTCTAAAGGTGGTAATAATTGCTTTTCTTCTTAATTTTGCCAGTTCTAACCACTTTCTGACAAAAATCTTACATTTGTATAAACTTTTTAACCGTTTTTTTATTTTGCTATAAACTTTTAGACCCAAAAACTAATTTAACTTCACGTTAGCTCCAGTTAAGCCTATTTTTCCACTTTTTCCTGGCCAAGAACAACATAAACAGCTTAAAAACCGACCGATCGGATCGATGCTAGCAGCGGCTGGTAGCGATTCCATCGACGAGTGGTCGTTCGTATAGAAGGAGTCATTCGTGCCCGTATTGTGTAGGTTTTGCGCTGACATAATCCGCCGATTAGTGGTTAAGGCACGGCTCGGTTGAGCAATCCGGACCCGTTCGGAGCGCTGAAAATCCCATTTTTATATTAGATTACATCGATTCGGTTTGTGTAAGGTGAGATGAGAGATTGGTGAGGATGTGGAGGATGTTAGAGATAGATATATTGATATTGGCCATTGATAATTCGGAGGGTGATAGAGGTATGTATGTATATATAGATATCGGCCATTAGGACTTTAAAACTTGATTTTGGCTATCAGTTTTGTAGTACTAAAACGTCTTTGGTATAGAGATCAAGATAGATAATGTAATACAACAGATGCTTCAGGTCAGGTAAGGTATGAAAGAGTAACGTAGAGTAGGGTAAAGAATGGCAGAGGATGACAGAATAGTTTAGAGCAACGCAGTTATAAAAAGTAATGAGCTATTTTTCATAGCTAATATGGAGTTCAGTAGCTCTTTATTTTTTATGCAATTCAATAAGGTAGGGTAAGGTAGATTAAGGTATGGAATGGTGGGGTAGAGTAGGGTAGGATAAGATGGAGTAGGGCAGCGTAGAATGAGGAGGGGACAAGGGAAGTCTTTTGAAAACAAATTTTAAAAAATAGCAAAAACTTTCTTTACAACGTAAAATTTGAAATTTATTCATAAAATGTCATTTTAAATAGACATAATTTTAAAAAATTTTAAATTCGAAAAATTGCAAAAATTTTTTAAAAGTACGAATTAATTTGGCTTTTCAAGCCCAAACCACCCCCTAAACACTTAATTTTTAACTTTCAACCCTCCAAAAATTAAAGAAATTACTTTTGAAAAACAGCTTCAAAAACTTTGAACCGTTCCGAACGCCAAATTCCCCAAGGCAAACGAGTTCGAACCCTTTCAAACCGTCGATTCTGTATGAATTTCCGCCATTTTTTACGTTTACAAAAAATAATTGTTGGGGAATTTAAAAAGAAAACAAGTGTTGTTGTTGTTTTATACGTGTGTCGAAGATAATATAAACGGTTTTTTCGCAAAAACAATTTCCCTACTTTTACTGGTAAATAAACAAATAAAAATAAATTGTAGACAAGGGAGTGAAAGAGCTGGGGGAAGGGTGAAAGATGAGAGATTAGAGGGACATAATGGTGGTTTTTCAAAGTGACAAAAAAGGAGTGACAGTTTTAGGAGGTGAGGATAGGGTAGGATACGGTAAGGTAGGGTGTGGGTAAGTTGAGGTAAGATAAAGTCAGATAGGGTAGGGTAAGTGAAGATACTGTAAGTTAAGGAAGGATAAATTAGAGTAAGGTAGGGTATGATAGGGTAACTTAAGGTAGAATAAAGTAAGTTAAAATAAGGTAGGGTATGGTAGGGTAAGCTAAGATAAGATATAGTAAAGTAAAGTAAATAAAGTTAGGGTAGAGCAGGGTTAGGCAGAGAAGGGTAGAACAAAGTAATGTTGTACATAGAAGCTAGGGAAGGGTACGGTAAGGCAAGGGCAGGGTAAGCAAGAAAAAAATTCTAAAGGGGAAAATAAAATTTAGGAAGCTGGTAGGTTAAACCAAAAGTAGCGGGACACTTTTTACTTCAAAAATAAATGAAAAGTGTCCCGCTACTTTTGGTGCAATCTAATGTTGTTTTGTTTTTGGGGGATAGGGCGGAATAATGGTTTTTTGTTGAGGAGGCGAGGAAAGGGGAGGGGTGGGAGGTGTAGTAACCCTATAAGCTTCACTATGTATTATATTATCAGTCTTTCCACTAAAGAATGTTACAGCTGCACGGTGCAATCCCTGGTAAAATCGCGCCCTTTTTATACCGCTGCATAGTGCAGATTTCCTGCGCGATCACCCGATACAGCCAGCGATGTTAGGAAAGACTGCACAGTGCAATCCCTTCAGTGTCGCACCGGTCGGTTGTCGCAGAAGTCAGGGGACTGCAACAGACAAAAAATCTTGTCGCAAACCTTCCACTAAACACAGTGTTGGTTTGAGCGTTGCGACAACAGCGACACGCTGTCGCATCGCCATTTGAATCGCGACACGACGGTTTGTCGCAAAGCTTTGCACCTGCGACATTGCGATTTCATTGGGATGTCGCAAGGTACAAGCGACTGTCGCAGACCTTGTCGCTTGTCGCCCAATTCTCAGCGCGACAGCGATTCCTTCAAACTGCACAGTGCAGTTTTGTAACATTCTTTTCCGGAAAGACTGATATATGAAGTGGTGAAAAAATATGTAAATTTGTTAATCCTTATATTTTTTGGACTTCTCTGTAGCTTTATGTCCATCCCTCCCGCCTCCTCCATTCTGTAAACATTTTTCCTGCCCTATTTTACCTTACCCTACTCTAACCTATTCTACCTTACCGTACCCAACCCTACTTTACCTTCCTCTAATCTCTCCTACTCTACTTTATGTTATCTTATCCTACCCTACCCTTCTCTACCCTACCTTCCAAAAGCCACTAAAACCCTATGCCAAGACAGATATGATGACACAAAAAGATCATCATAATATTATATTAGCCTTACTAAATCGAACAGAACTCCGACATTTGGAGTGAATAGTAGCATAAGCCGTAATGGAACACCAGTTTTCCGTTTTTTTTTGTAACTCCACCTTCTTTAACACTATTACTATGATACTACTTTTTGTAGTATTTCAGTTAGTTTATAATCATACTGCTATGTTATACTTGAAGTATAATAGGCATAGCAGTAGGAAAATGGTGGAAAACGTTACAGAGGGTGGGGTGTTTATTGCTGTACAATAAGGGGTGGTTTGTGACTGAAATGGTACAAGTGTTATTGTAGGTACACGACTAAAGATTGGGCTCGGAAAAGTTATCATGTGTAGATAATTAGGTATAGGTAATACGTCATAATGACGGTTTTAATGCACAAAATTGTGAAAAATGTTTTAAAATCGCTATTAACCTACTATAATATAAAATTTAATACAAATTTAAATTGAAAAAAACATATAAAACTTCTTGTTATACCTCAAAACTACACGCTTCTTATCGCCTCCTAGCCTATATTACTTTCTCCAGCGTAAAAACAATGACCATTACTCCCCAAGTATTTACTCGCCGGTTATGGAGAACAAATAAATAGTAAAAACAAACAATTTCACGGCCCTTTTATGTCGCCGGGGGGTGAGGGGGAAAGTCAGCCCAAAAAACATATTCGAATAGTTTTGGCGGCCTTTTATTGTCGGAAACGGATATTCGCAGCGTTTTCGCCGTACGTTCAGATTATATACATACAGAATGGCAAAGTAAAAAATGGCTGCGGGGTTTAAGATTTTTTACGTTGTTCAAAAAGTTTTGAGCCAAAACAGTTTTTTTAAATAGAACTGATAAAAATGATGAGAGGGATAATATCATGGTAAAACTATTTTCGTCAAAAATTGGATAAAAGTGAATTAAAAAAAAATTTTTTTTGGCTCAGTACTTTTTGGACAAGCTAATAATAAAAGTAGCAATTGGCAGGCATACGAAAATCTTAAAACTTTAGTATTTTCGTGCTGTGGGAGGGCTGAACACTAGGAGCGTTTAGGTTCATTTTTTTGTTTGTAGTAAGGGAAGATGATTTTTCTAGAGAGGAAGTTAACAAAAAAATTTTTTTTGCGTTTTTAAGAAGGGTAAGGTAGGGTTGAATAAGTTAAGCATAGGACTAAGTCTAGAGCTAGAACTAGGCCGAATGCTAGTGTTAAGTCTATAGCGAGGGGTGGGAATACAGTTAAGAAATAGATAGGGCTAAAGTTTAAGCTAGACATAGACTTTGGGCTAAATCTATAGTTAGGGTTGGGCCAAAGGCTGAGCTGTGGCTTTGAACAAGGGCTAGAGCTAGGACTAGGACTACAGCTAGGGTTAGGGCTAGAACTACAGCTAGGGTTAGAGCTAGGGCTAATGCTGGAGCTAGAGTTAGAGCTAGTGCCAGAGCTGGGGCTAGAGTAAGGGCTGGAGATAGGATTAGAGCTAGGGCCAGAGCCAGGAATAGAGTTAGAGCTAAGGCTGGAGCTAGGGCTAAAGCTAGGGTTAACGCCATTCCACCCTTTTTGCTAGATCTGGAGATAGAGCTAAGGCTAGGCCAGAGTTAACTAAGGCTATTCCACCCCACTTCACATCAAAATCACCTGCCAAATTTTAAAAATACTTCAAAAACCCTCAATACTAAAAGCTAGTCTAAAAAACCATGTTTTTCGTATTGAAGATGCGCCAGCAGTAAACAACAATTTGATCCCATAAACAAAATGATTTTGTTCACTTTTTAAATGCGTCCAAAAAGTATTTTAATTCACTTACAAAAAGGTGGAAACCTCAGCCAATTTGAGGGAAAGACAAAACTTTTGCTTTCATTGTCTTCACAAGAGCCCTCAAGCGATTTTGGAAACGCAAAAGATCGTTAATCGAATATGCAAATATGTTTCGAGATTTGTATAATGCACTCTAAATTCTTGGTTTTAAACTTAAAATTCTTTCGTTTTAGTTTTAAAGTTTGTTTTAGGTATTTCTGAGGGGCTTTGAGGGTTTAACTTGTAGTGTAATATCAGGTTCGTTATGGTAATGCGGGGTGGAATTATTGTAGAACAGGGTAAGGTAGGGTAGGGTAAGGTAAGATATTGTAGGGTAGGACAAGTAAAATTATTGCCATACTTTTTTACACAGCAGCATTACTGCAAAAAAGTGTAAAATTACACACAGTTGAATATAAATTAGCCGACCCTCAGACTCACACAATGGCATTACTCTCCCTCTCTCTATATGAAATATAATAGCCATCTATTAGCTTAATATAGACGTTTTTTAGCTTTGCTATGCCTATTAATATAAAAGTACTACTGAGAAATTTGAAAAAAAACGTGGTCGTTGCCTCACCTTACCATAACCCACCTCGCTCTATCCTAACTTACCTTACTATAATTTATCTCACTATACCCTGCCTTACCCTAATATAACTTTCAATACCATGCCTTACCCAAACATAACTTACTCTTGCATAACATTCTTGTCTTGCTCT